TGTAGTATTAATGTCGACCTTGAGGGGGAAGTTGTTCACATGGGGTTACTGGTATCGACTTTATGGATGATTATGACACGGGCTAGCCAAATCTTGGCTTGTAAAGGTTCATTTAGCTGCGATGCTTCCAAAGATAATGTCGCAGCTTCGAATTTAGATTGTACAATTTGAGACATTGCTATACAGGTTAGGAATTCTGGAAGCTTAGACTTGACGATTGAGTTGATCTTCCTAATACTACCCGTTTTCACTGTTAACATTAAAATGACTGGTAGCCAACTACATATTGCATACTTTTGTGTACATATAATTGATTACTTTGAGTTACTGATCGTATGAACTTCGTCCTATCATTACAGCTGTCATCGTTATTGTACTGATTTTTTCAAACACAACTAAAATCTAATTGCCAATATTCCTATGCGTCAGTGTAAACAGTAAATTTTAAATGCTGTCTTAGTCAGTCGTTAAGTAGCTATTAGAATTGGCAATATGAATCGTAAATCATATGATTCGACAATGTGGTGCCTATTATTTGTTACTAAGGTAATATTTTATATATTATATTTAGACACATAAACATCGATGCGAAATGACTTACTTTCGTTACGTCTGTTATCCCTCTTGGAGGAGCATATCAGGAATCCCCACCCAATTCTGTCATGGGAATCCTTTCCAGCAGCTATTCATCCTTCTGATGTCTGCTTTCATTTCCCGACGTACTGTTCTTCGGTCTTCCTCTTCTCATTTTCCTTTGAAGATTCAAAGTTATCGCTTGCCTCATGATATAGTTTAGTATTTCCTCAATGTCGTATCCATTTCCAACGTCTTTTCCTAATTTCCTCTTCAGCTGGATGTTGGTTTGTTCTCTTCCACAGAAGGCTGTTGTTGATGGCATTCGGCCAACAAACATTGAGTATCTTGCGTAGACAATTGTTTACAAATACTTGTACTTTTCTGATGATGGTTGTAGTATTTCTCCAAGTTTCAGCTCCATACAGTAGAACTATCTTGACGTTCGTATTGAAGATTCTGAATTTGATGTTGGCTGATGATTGTTTCGAGTTACATATGTTCTTCAACTGTAGGGATTCTGCTCTTGTTTTGCCAATCCTCGCATTTACTTCTGCATCAGATCCCCCTTGTTTACCAGTGATATTGCCCAGGGACACGAACGTTTCCACCTGTTCCAGTGCTTCTCCATTAAGTGTGACTAGGTTAATGTTCTCCGTATTGATGATTTTTCTCAGATATACTATAGTGTTGGAGAAGGTTCTACTATTCACACTCAAATGGTTTCTCATAATCAAGGAAGTTGATGTATAATGACGAATTCCATTCAATTTATTGTTCAACGATGATCCGTAGTGTCGCGATTTGGTCTGTATACGATGGGTCCTGACTAGATCTAGACTGCTGATCTCGAAGTTGGGCGTCTACTGAATCGTACCTGCGGTTCTACAACATTCTGTTGGAAAAGTTTCTTGTTACTGATAGTAGTGTGACGCCTCTTTAGTTCTTGAATTTGCTGAGATCTTTCTTTGGTATCTTGATGAGGTATTCTTCCTCCTAGTCTGTTGGCTGAATAGAACGTGGAGCATGTTGCAGTCACTTCTATGTGCTTCATGTGTTGTCAGGTCCTCCTGCCTTGATTTGTCTAATGGCCGTACTGATTTCTTCGATTGTTGGTGGTCTGTGTGCTGCTTCGATGCCGAATGGTTTCAGTGGGGTTGGCCCATTCAAGAGTTTCCCAAAGTGTTCTATCCAATTGTTCAGCTGTTCTTGTATTTCAGTGATTGGCTTGCTTTCCTTGTCCTTGACTGATCGCTCTGGTTTACAATATTTCTCTGCCAGCATCTTCGTTGTGTCCTACGTAGTTGTCTCGTATTTCCTTCACTTGCAGCTTTTTCCACTGTCGCTGCTAGGTCTTACACAAGTTTCTGCTTGTCAGCTCTAATGCCTTTCCTCATTTGCTTGCTTATTTCTAGGTATTTCGGCTTGCCCATTGACTTCTGCTCTTGTTCGTCTGTTGTCAATTGCTGTTTCCCACTTTATCCAGACATTCCATGTACCAATACTTACTGTTACGCTGGTTGTTAGAAGGAGCATCGACCTCGCGATTTCCGAAGAATCCCAGCCTTCACCATGATGTATAATTCTTCTGAATAAAGATTCTAAACTACCAGGACAGAGTTTAAATAGCTTATTCTAGTTAGTGTTTTATAGGAAGATTATTTTCTACGGCATGTGGTTGCTGACTCCATGTCCAAACCTCCTCCTTTACTCGGGCTTGGAACGGACAGTAACCCTAGATGAGCTACAGACGGAGTCGGTATGAAAGGACACCAAAACATATATGCGCTACAGTGTTTATCAGTAAACTTGTATGAGCCGGGATATTGTTTGAGTCATAAAACCAAAGTAGGTTGTTTTTTTAAGGACCGATTCCCTGAGCGGTGGGGCGACGCTAGGAGATGAAGTTCTATGTCACCTGGTGACTAGGAATGGATTCATACGCTATTTGTTCCCTCAGGATCCTGGAGCCCATCTGGAATCACGGCTTTCCATATCCACCAATCCGCTTTTCGTCCTCTCAATTTCGTAAATGACACTCCCGCCACGAAAAGGCCACAGGGACTTCGCTGATAGTGGACATATATGTCTGGCCATATGAGAGGACTTCAAGAGAGAGAGCGGATTTTCCTCACCCTCGACCGTACCAGAGCATTTTCAGGAACATCGTCACAAGACCTCAGGTTTTATTCATACTGATGAGTAGTTAGAAAAACGAAATTTCCCAACTACATCTAATATGTTCTCTGAATCTGGTTTTCAGCTTTTATCGTCTGTGTGCTCTTATTATTGTTAACCTCAAAATAAGCTAGTATTAAACCAGAAGTCCTATGTGTAATATATTACAAGTATTAATCATTCAACCTTCCTTAAGGATGATGTGTACGTTTGTGTAAGATTATAAGAATCGGTCAGAAGCGAGACTGATAAGTGCAATCGTTCAGTTAGCATTGGATTATACTGATTATAGGCATATTGTAATTCTACTGTGTTTTGTTAATTATTTCATTCAGTTTATAATTTTGTTTAAATTTATAATTATTGATCATTGGAAAGGATGTTTGTAATGTGAAGATCGCTTTTTTACAGACCGGTTTCACTCTCTTAACTATTGGGGGGCTGGGCCGATAATATTGGGAAGCATAGTGCTGAACTAAAATTGTAGGTGTTTACGTTCCCGTTACTACTCAGAACTACATAGCTAAGTGCCCTTCTTCTGATCCGAAATATAACATAAACAGATAGCAATAAAAGATTGTGTATGTACAAATAGAAAGCCTTGTAGAATTGATAAGTTATCAGCAGACTATAATGTGGATGAATTAAGATGATTAAAATGTTTTTGTTACAACGATTAAAGGTAATGGAAGTGTAAAATTAAATTAAATGATAACAGAAACAATTCTGAATAAAATCATGAGGATATGAGACTCAAGTAAAGGGAGAGGGGGGTATTTTCAAATACGAAATGACAATAGTGGTAATAATAATAATAGATTAAGGCCAAAGTAACGATAAGACGTACTTTTTTCGTTCGCACAGTTCTCGCTTAAGCTCACGGATGACAAGAGCTTCAGCTGATTTAAGGAGTTGGATACGAAGATGTCTAGGTGGATTTGCATGAATTGTATAAAGAACCTTAAAATCAATCTGTGCACCCGTAAAATGATTTGATTCATAATTGTTTCTGATATCATTTCATTTAATTTTTCACCTCTATTAACTATAATTATTGTAACAAAAACATTTTAATTATCTTCATGCACATTATAATCCGTTGCTAACTTATTAATTTTACAAGATTTTCTTTTATTGTTAATATTCATATTACGTAGTCTAGTATTATAATCTTTCTATCACATCACCTTGGTTATTCCTTGTTCATATTTCCTCACAGAAGTAGTACTTCAACAAAAATTTTCATTTAGGCATATGATTGTTCATCTTGATAAATTCGTTGAAATGGGAATTATATATTAATAAGCAGATAGCAATGTTTGGCATATACTAATAACACAACAAATGAGACTTGGCACAAGAAATTTCGCGGAGATTATAATTTATGGACGACCTCTAGCGACAGTAATGATTCTGAGACAACTCACCTACACACTACACTACGGTAGAAAGAGGGTAATAAATTACCATGAGGCACCGAGATTAGGATTTAGGGTTAGGTTTCCATCAGGAACTGACATCAGCTATGATGCTAAAATCCAAGACTTGCTGTTCTTGATGTCATTGGTTCGTCCATAAATTATAGTCCCGCCGTAACTTTTATAGTTAAAATGGCGGTATAACTTGTTAGTCAACCGTTTTATATATCAACGCAAAGAACACTATAAAGACTGTTGTTTACTATTGAATCATGGCTACCGATTAGAACAGAAACTTTTATTTAGGCAAAATATGTACAGAATGTTTTTTACTCTATTTCATATCATTTTTCTTTATAAATGGCATTCTGAAAACTTCAGTGAGTTTACGGGCCTGCAAATGAAAAATGAAAGCTTGTTTTTATTACGTGTAAGGACGATAGAAATAATTTTGAAATAATGCCTGTTATACACAGTTCATTTCGAGTACACATGTGAATACTGGGTATTATCATGATCTCTGTTATTAATGTACAACTTACTCACGAATAACACTTAGTTTTATTCGCAATATAACATTCACAATGGAAGGACCACGAACGTGAAATACAAAGAGCTTATTACAACAAATCATACCAGCAAGCAAACTCCAAAAACACCGCTAAGAGAATTAACAACTGAAGAAAATATGAAGTATTCTCGAACAAACCTGATGCACACAAACTGAAAGTGTACAATTGTTGAAATTCCAAAGGAATGTTCAGTAATCTGCAACTGCACTACCACACGGAATACAGAATAACCACAGCTAACAACGGTGACTACCACCATCTTTTAGTGAAATCTTATAACTCAAACTAATCAGAAACTAAATGAACTGAAGAGGTACATAGTGCTTATCTACCTAAGTAGAAACATACGATTGACGGTTTGTCCGATAAGTATATTACAACAACAAAATTATCTGAAGAGCGAAATCTTTAGTCAACCTTCAGCTCTTAAATAAGATCTATAGTTACGTGATAGGTACTCCCCTTAAAGTTTTTATAAATATATTCAACATAAAATTATTTGAAAATTTCAACATACTTTAAGCTGACCAAAACCAGGGCACTTCTCCAAAGTTGGTTGATCAGCTCGTATTATGTCGGCTACAGTCTGAAAGTTTACATTAAAAAAGGAAATTAGAAAAACTATCTAATTGTACTGTTATATCATAATGAAGATTAAATTACGGGTAACTTCTGAGACCTATTAATGCACTATTATATATATATATATATACCTCTTATTATAAGCTTCATTTTGACCTATAAATCATTACTGTACGATTTACTGCTCTTAAATTATGTTCAGTTTATTAGTTATCATCTCCCACGTTCACAGCCATTCTTTGGCTTGATCTTGTATAGAGGTTATTTTCCAATTTATGGTATGACGCGGTCTGTTTGGCTGGTATATAAACCAGGTATGTCTGAAATAAATTATTCGCATGGCGGAAGCTGTTATTGGTGTTCTGCACTAAACTCGACGGGCTAGGCGAACAAAACAGCAATAAAGCTAGGCTGCTCATACCAGTCGAACGTCATTGGTTAGGCACAGTACTGAGATTGAATAATCACGTAATAACTAGCCAGCCTTAAAGTCACAACATGTACAATCAAAATTTCCATTCCAAAAGAACTAATTACTTACGTATTAAACTGCTAGTATCAATTTTATTATTCACTTATCGATAAAATACGAAAGCAAATCAGTTTTTATAAACCCCCAACTGTTCGCTTTAATTCATCTGCCCTGATTAAATGTATTCTAGTCAATTATTAAGTTGAAAATGTTCTGAGTGAGCTGTTATTTCGTACAATCTAAATCGTATCATTGTTTATAATAATGAGTGAAATAAATATTTTATCGCATCAATCTAAATTGAAATGAATCAAATAATAACACGCTCTGATGCCTATTAGGGTATTTTTCAATAATTATTAGGATTATCAGGATCTAAGTTATTTTAGTTTAATTGAATCTGTTATAGATCGTTAAAAATAATGAACAAGAAATTGTAGATCTAAATCACCCAGGTGTATTTCGCTCAAAGATTTAAATTCGTAACAATTATTGTCATAATCAGAGACGTATGGTACATTATTCTGCTCAGTTCAATTATTTTAAGAATATGGTGGAACTAAAGTTTCTTCAAGTTATTTTTTATTGTAAATTTTTAGAATTGTATAGTGTGAAAACTGACTGAATACTTCACTAGTTATATGCTTACTTGTTTATCAACTATTAGTCAGTAATATCTATTTTATGTCACTTGCTGCTAACCATTTGTCAACTACAAAAGCAAACAAGGTGAGACTATTTATGAACGAACCAATCAGATTTAAGATAACAGGTCTTGGATTTTGGTGCGAAATTCATTCATCCATTGGCTACATAGCGTTTTGACATTTTAGCTGATGCGATGTAAACCCTAAATCTAATTTCTTACCCTAATCATCGGCTGCGAATCATAAGCTTAATTCGTTAAACTTCTTTATAACCCTCATTTAGCCCTAGTAAGGTGGACATTCTCGAGGTCGCTTCAGTATCGCTCAGGGTCGTCCACAAATTATAGTCTCACCGCACAATACAAACTAGAAGGATATTCACACTTACATCGAATTTTCTCATTGCTGAAACAGCATCAGCTTTCGTGATACGTCGAACCGAAGTTAAGAAATCTGTAACTTGTGTGATATGATCTGTTTGTGCGGCTGGCTCTACCATTAAGTTATCTGGAGGTTTGTTTTCCAAGGCTTTATAAGCTTCTAAATATCTTGCTGCTTCCTCCATACTATAAGTGCGTAAAAATGGTATATTTTGAAATTAAAAGAAACGATTAACAATTTTGATTTTTTGTGCATTACGCGAATAATTTCTAACTTCAGTGATAGTAGACGATACTGCTTCCTAGAAGTTCCATCAAGATAAACGAACATTTTAATTCATTCCATTATACACAGTTAAAAGATTGCAAAACTGAATAATTTTTGCAGAGAACTATTACAAATAAATATTATACGGGGAATAGCATTTAAACCAATTCATAATCCTTCACTTAATTCCTTCCTACTAAATTTTGTTTAGGGACTCAACATCCCCAGCACTCCCATTTTTACTCTCGAGATTACTCAGAATTGAACTATGCACCGTCGGTTTGACCATATAGGTGACTCAGTCCAAATAGTTTTAGAGGAAGTGACACTAATAGAAGGAGTTGGTTTAGTGCTCGTAGCCTATATGTGCTGCCGACTAGTTCCAGACAGCATTCAAGCCACATGTCTGTTTTAACGAATGTGTCTGCTTCATTGTTGAGAATTATTGATTGTTAAGCATTTTTACCATAAATACACCATCCTCAGTCCCCACTTTTTCTGAGTAAGCACGTCCGTTGGAATCAGAAAAAAGAGTGTAGATCTCGGTGGTCGCCGTATCATTAAAAAAGATACTGACTTATTACAACTATTCCTTACCGATCATTATGATAGGGAGGTCACAAAACCCTCTCGATGAAGAGCTGAAACAAATTTCCCACCGCTGAAAATCATTATTTATCGCAGATAACTGACTTACAATTGGACCACATGGTGGTTCCCAGACGTCTTCACTCTCAGATTCGACATCAATTTTACCGCAGTCACCCGGACATTAATCGCATGAAGTCCGTTATTCGAGGTTTGGCTAGTTAACCGTTTAAAAAATAACCGATTGTGTAAATTCGTGGACGGCCTCTAATATTCGGCAAGTAGTAAAACTGGACGGTCGAGTACCACCAGCCCTGTGGCCACAACATGAAGACCCATCATCCAGAGCACGCAGGTTTAGCCGTGCTAATCAACGACATCACTCGTCTGGTTTTCGCTGACGTGTTCTCAAAATGACGAGATTCTCCTCGTGATAGCACTAAGAACTAACAAAGTCTTCCGCTGACGGAGACACTTCTCAGAATGGGGTATCAGATAAGAGGTCGCAGTTTATTTCCAAACATTTTCGAAAGTTTTTCAGATGAAAATCTATTTATCTACATCTCTTCATTACCACGTTAACTCTCAGCCAAACAGAAAATTAGAGAGGTCTGTTGAAGCATTCGAAACGACCCAGGTCAAGTTGGGTGCGGGATGCTTGTTGAGGTGCTGTATATTTTCAAATGTCTACAGAACAACAACCCATGACGCATTACCAAATAGGAAATTTCGAATGAAAGTCCTTATGGACTGCATATTGAAAACAAGCCAACAATTGATGTTACCCAAAGGACTGTGGGTGAGAAAATAGTAGCACTGAGAACCCCAACATTGGTTTGAGATCACAAAATGAGGTATGGCGCATGGGTAGAGGAACTTGTGACTGGGAGAAAGAGTCAGGTAATATATGATGTGGGAGTTGGAAAGGATAAATGTTTGCATAGTAATCAGTTGCAAAGAAGCGTAGCATCGTAACTTTAGTAGTACCATGCAACGTAACGTTGGAGGTACAAATAGACACTTACAGTCCATCACAGCTCTTGAACAGTTAATAGCCTATTTATAAGCGAGGTATCATCCACTTCTTAGTCTTCTAGTAGGCCCAAGTCTCAATATTTTACGTACCAATGCTGAATGATTGTTGAGACCATTTACAACTAAAGCATAAAAACTTTAAATATTATCGCTATATATTAGCATATACGTTACGATATCAGTTATGAATCCTCTGTGACATGCATTCCTCTCACATGGAAAACAAGCTATTTCTACTTTATACTTTTGGGTGTAATGAAAAATATATCAGTCGAAATAATTCCTTGTATTAGTCACAACGAAATACAATGTATCAATTTTGAATGTCTATATAATCAAAATGTTTTGACAGAATAAAACATTTAGAAATGGTTGATCACTGAGTAATGATCAATTTCAAGTCATCTAGACTAGTGGCAAGGCTGCAATTCGATCAATGGAATTTCATCAGCACTTGAAGTTAGATGAACATAATAATGGTTTACTACTTAAAGACCAATCAATTAAAGACATCTCATTCATACTGGTCAGTAGAGGTTCAAAAAATTCAGTAGTAACGTTTTAGACTGTGAAGATGGGTGATGAGAGTACGAAACCCGTGGGGAGAAAGTTTCTTTAAGATTGAAAGTACGCTTCGTTGAAGAGCTTACTTACGCCTGTTGCTCCCAATGGAGCATAGGCCGCCGACCAGCATTCTCCAACGCACTCTGTCCCGGGTAAACCAGAAAAAATAATTCGCTGACGAGCACGAAACCTATATTCAGGATTTTTGGCCGATCATTTCCAACAACTTAACAAAATTGATTATACAAAATCATGTGGACATTGGTTTCATTAATTAATAAATTACAAAGATGCAAACGCATAAACTTACTTCCAAGCCAACATCAAGGTTAGTCTTTCAGTCCAACAAATTTTACACAACTCTTTTAAAGGATAGTATGGATCTGGCTGAAATGAAGTGAATATGTTTTATTTGGTTTTTACGGATTTGATAAGGACTAGAGCATTCAAACTAACGAGACACTGCAAAAAATTATCTAAATTTAGATTGACCGACTATAAACAACCTTGAGTAATGAAAAGATTTGATTTAAAATGAAGCTTATAAGATAATTTTATTATCAAATAATCAATCGTTTATCTGATACAAACTGATGTGAAGAACGAAGCTAACCTGGAAATAATTTTGTACCTGATTACAATATGCATTTACATAAGATACGTGAGGAAAATTTATTTATTGTAAAATGGAATCCCTAGTTAGCTTTTAGACTTTCTCTAACCTACGGCTTCTGAAAAAGTTAAAACAAACTACTGAAAATCCAAGAATTTTTCCGAGATCAATGATTTTTTAAGTTGCCAGAATCTTTAAAGTTTATTACTATATATTTAAAAACTATATTCTCAGTGTGTAGTCCTCATTATCATTGGTATTATATTATTTTACTTCGTTTACAAATCATCTTAATTTCATCTTGTCTTAATGTTAGAAACTTCGGCTAACACATATGTGTAAGGCTCTACGTTGATTATGACCTATTCATTCTGGAATGAGTGACCAAACTAGCAGTAATTTATATGTTTAATCAATCAGATTAAGAAACAAAGGTTTAAAATTTTGGAATCTACCAAGACAGTCGTTTTTTGGTTCTCCAGTGTTTGTTCTGTAGTAACTATTCACATCTAGTATCTTACTGACTGAATTCATATGAGGTGTCTTTTTTAATACTATTTTACGGTAAATGACATTCAATAATAGAATCCTTTGAATACGACGATAAATAAATGTTACACGTATAGAATGGAATTACCCATACACAGGTTTCTGAACTTAGCTTTGAATCAAATTTTTGTGTGAAGGATGCCAGTGACATTCAACACTCCGCACTGAAATAGATAGGGATTCAAGCCTGAAACCCTTAAATAAACGAACCCTTGAAGAAGGACATAAGATTACCCTAAAAGCATATTATGATTGATTATCTCTATCATAACAGTAACAGTTATTAAATGAATAGCATAATTGTGAATAGCAAAAAGTCTTGAAAGCATCATGACCCATTGATAGAGACAATCTGATAAACACAAAAGGCGTAAATATCACATCGTATATTACTCATATCAACAAGACCGAAAAATTAGGATTCGTAGTCGAATGTCTTGGTTTTGGACTCATTACAACTAAATTGATCATAATCATATACAAGGTCATAGATATCTCTTGATAATAATTGTCAACTAATATAAAACCTATGTCCAAGGCTCCGGATTAATAACCTAGTTTGTGATTTCAGCAATTTCAATAAAGGAAACATTATATGGTGTGTGCTACTTATGTAGACATAAGTAGTATATGATGTCAGTCGTGAACAGAATGTCTGGTAGCAGAGAGACAAGAAGATCGAACAGTAAAGAATGGAAACAGAATGCAATTTGTATGAAAATGCAAGAACAATGAAGTCTGAGTCTTTTCGAGACAATTCATGGACATTTTGCAAATTGAGCATTTACTAATTATTTGTTAAATTTTATTAACAAGTTCTGTAATTTGTTGTCAAATACATTCGATTGTCTCCATTCGTGTTCTTGTTCACTACAGTTATACTTAATAATTAATAAACCTGTTAATTAAAAGCTTCAATTTTCAAGCTCAAAAATTTAGTCGCGAATATAACTTTATTTCTCATATACCCTGAAAAAACTTTTCTTTAATTGTAGTACACTTAATAAACTTACTACATCCACTTGAACAAGAAGTACAGATAGTTGGTAATGTTGTTTTGTTTGACGTAAACGTTCAAATATATATTCAGGATTTAAATTATGATAACGTAAGCTAAACAAAATAGAAAGATTAATAAATAGTTACCAAGTGCGTTTATTCCATCACATTGTTAAGACAAATAATAGTTTATCTTTCGAATGTAATAATATTTAGCAGAGAGATTATTCCATGGTATAGGAATATATTTAGAACTAAAAGCTGGGATTTTCCATTTTGATACACAAGTTATCCTGATCAGGCTTTTAGATACCTCAATTTCTAATGACCTAACTTTAAAATTCATAAGTGGTCATGAATTACAAAATCAAATGAATTTTTTGTACTTAATGATCACGAGAAATAAAGTTTATCCGGTTACATGTTCTACTTACTATAAGCCTTCCTAAAGAGGGTAATATTTGCATTTTAACAGCTTAAAAGAAGTCTTGTAATAACATTGTTCTTGAGAGTAACCAGACTATATTTCGAAGATGCACGCGATAATTAGGTGGAAATTGTATAAAGAAACTTAGTCGAAAACAATTATCCAACAAAGTTTATCAACAAGCACCGTAAGTCAAAAATTAAAATGTCGAGACCCCAAACTTTCATTCAAAAGGGATTATCTTAGCGTGTAGCATAGGTGTCAATAAAATAAAGTGAATGTTTGTGCTCCAACAGAATCTGAAACAATAACAATTAAAAGCAGAAAACGAGGGTGTGTGCAATTTATACTATTTATACGTGCAATATGATACGCATAAAAGAAACGAATAAAAAAATGAGATGGATATAATACTAAAATACTATATTTATGTAAACAAAAATTGTAAGTACTACGTTTGTATGAGGAGAAAAAGAAATAATGGGAACAATCAAATGACGTCTATAATATATGTATATGAATCGCAGTTTATTCAGCCTCTTAAAGACGAATGCAGAATGTTTGTTAAGCCGACGAAAAAAATAAATGAATATAGAATAACCAAGTACAAGCATGTTTTAGTGAGTTTCTATAGAATAGTAGTACTCAAGTGATTAGTGATTCCTCACATAGCACAAAATGTTTGTTTGTAGGATAATATTCAAGTGATATTATAAAAACGGCACTGATAAATCATACTCAGTAAGTATCATGTCATTCGTTTAAAGAAGAAAGTTAATGTATGTTTCAGTCGCTATTGTGAACCCATATGTTAATTCCCAGTTAAATATACATTAAAAGAATATATGAAGGAATAGAAGTGTAACTGCGAAAAGAACATATCTAAATTCGTGTTCACGATAGGTGGTTACACTTTGAGTGGTTTGTGTAGTTGGAATGAAACATCTTTGAAAACCGATGGGTACTACATGGGAGTACCAATAATGTCGTAGAGCAAACATAAATATTAGTTATTATATATGTAAATTATATTTGAAACAATCTCAGCGATTGAAATTTAAAATAATTCCAACGTTTCGTCCAGCCAACTTGTCTGGACTTCTTCAGGGTAATAATCAAAATCATCAAAGATATATATATATATATATATATATATAGCTTTTAACAATCATAACTGTACTTTGTTAAACCAATCAATTTTTTTTTGGATGTTGATTTTTGTAACAGGATATAATGAGTCAGTTAACAGCACTTCGTGTGAAAAATTCAACTTCATGGTAATAATTATCTGTAGTAAAATCAAATGTATATGTGTGTATATGTGAGTGCGTAATATGTATGTATGTGTGAGATTAATTATTGATATTCTGTGTTATTATGTTATGTATGGAAGGATAAGCAAATAAATAAATAAAAGTGCAAGTTCAAGGTTGATTAATTGCAAATGAATCATCGATGTACTTATCAATATTTAAGAATCCAACATATACATATTGCTAAAGCCTCATTGAATGCATTCAGTGATAACGATGCATTTGAAATAAACAGGTTGAAACTTAAGAGATAGGGTTCAAATTACTTGTTAAACGATATTTTCCAGGTATTCGCCAGTTGAATACCATCTTTTCGGTTCAGGCTGTTCTTGTTCGCCCAAATATACATATATCTATTTCGAGGTCACTTTTACAGACAGAGAGAGGGGATAGCATATATACATTTGACTTTACTACAGATAATTATTACCATGAAGTTGAATTTTTCACACGAATTTCTGTTAACTGACTCATTATATCCTATGTTACAAAAATCAACATCCAAAAAAAAAATTGATCGGTTTAACAAAGTACAGTTATGATTGTTAAAAGCTATATATATATATATATATATATATATATATATATATCTTTGATGATTTTGATTATTACCCTGAAGAAGTCCAGACAAGTTGGCTGGACGAAACGTTGGAATTATTTTAAATTTCAATCGCTGAGATTGTTTCAAATATAGTCAGTCAGTCTGTCAGCTGCAACGTAGGACCAGGCACGTATATGCATCGGTCCAAGTTGCCATACCGCATTAGCACAACAAGATGAACACCGGATTCATAGTAGTTAATTCAGTGGTGGTACTATATAGAAGAAAGAATGTGTATAAGGAGATAGTACAGGAAGGTAGAATTAGTTCCTAGAAAGAAAGATTTGGAATGAGTTTAATCTCTTAGTTTAAAGGAAGACAGAGAGTGTACACACCTACACCATTGTGATCGATTCTGAGCCATGTCACCAAGAGTCTCCAACCACTGGTTACGATAGTCACGCAGACCCCAACCAAGTAGTCTGCATCTACCAACATGGCTAAGACTAGAAGTTAGTGACTTCAAGCACTGATGCCACGTTTCGGTTTGGCCGCCCCTAACTTTCTTCCAACCATTCTGAACACTAGTCAGCATTGCGCGTCGTGGTAATCGGTGTTCAGGGATACGTAACACGTGGCCCAACCATCTCACAGTCGATAAAGATTCACAACCTAATCAACTGATTTACCATCATTCCCTAATACCCTGCGTCTAACCTTACTATTACTTACCCGATGATCCCAGCGGATGCGAGCAACATTTCTAGGGCATCTGTGGTCAAATACTAGTAAGTTACGAGTATCTTCTACTCTTAATGGCGATGTTTCGCAGCCGTAAAGTAGAACAGAACGAACTGCCAAGCAGTATACTCATCCCTTAATTGATAGATGGATATCTCGCCTTCGCCATAGGTGACGTAAGTTGGTAAAAGTCAAACGAGCTTTCCGAATCTGTGTAGAGATTTCGTCAGACACTGACCCATTAGGGCTGATCAGACTTCCAAGATAAGTGAAGTTGTCAACGCGTTCGACTACTTCACTCCTGATCCTTAGTTCAGGTGTTGACGCAGACCAGTCCTGAAGCAACAGCTTGCATTTAGAGGGGGAGAAGCGCATCCCAAACATCCTGGCATTGTTGCTCAGTGCTACCAACAGACACTGGATTTTATCAGTGTCTTCACCAAACAGGACTATATCATCTGCGTATTCTAAGTCGATAAGTGAACCTCCTGGTAGGAGATCAATGCCCGGAAATCCAGTCGATGAGAGCGTTATTTCCATCAGTATGTCTATGATGAAGTTAAACGAAAATAGAGAAAGTGGACAGCCTTGCCAGACACCACTTGAGGTTGCAAAAGCAGATGAAAGTTCGCCGTAAGCTCTCACCCGACTAGTAGTGTTCGAGTAAAGAGCCTTCACATGGTTTATGTACTTCTGAGGTACGCCTTTCAATGACAGACACTGCCACAGAACCTCTCGGTCTACAGAGTCAAATGCTGCTTTTAAGTCAAGGAAGACCACCATTGTCGGACACCGATAAGCATGTCTGTGATCTAAAACCTGACGAATGGTGAATACGTGGTCGATGTAGCCACGACCAGGTTTGAAGCCAACCTGATTGTCTCGTGTTTGCAGTTCACGAGTCTTTGTTAAACGTCCGACAATTATTGAGGCTAGTATTTTAGATGCTGTATTGGTCAAACTAATCTCTCTATGGTTATCACAGGATGATTTGGACCGCTTCTTATATATTGGGACAATCAGTGACTGCGACCAGTCAGATGGAATTACATTCAGTTCCCAGAGTTAGCTAAAATATTAGTCAATCTAATCGCTAAAACTGGACCATCATACTTAAGGACCTCTGGAGCCAATCCATCTGGACTAGCTACCCTTTCTCGTTTCAGACTACCTATAGTTTTTTTTGAACTTCAATCAGAGTCGGAGGGCTTACTTCAATGTTTCATTCAGGCTGTCTGGGAATGGTGGGTAGTTGTAGAGTAGCTGAAGGCCAGCTGGAGTCTGTAGAGTTGTCTTGTGTTCCCTATAGCCGCCGCCTTTTCCATCTCTTTTGCTTACGTTGCCCACCACTGCTCACGATCGTTCCTTAGACTTTTGCTTAATCTAGATCTGATTTCTTTACGCTCTTCATCGTTTTCAGAACCTGATGGGATGAGTTTACGAGAATCTATCAGTGCAATAGACCTTGACGAAATCCATTGGTTCTTTGTAACCCTGTGGTTTAAATCACTAGTCGATGGCACTGCTGTTTCCACAGCTGCTTGTATAACATTCCAATCAACATCGGGGTCAGCATCGTTTTCAGAACTACCTAAGTGTGACCTCAGTTGTTCCTGGAACCTACTTTTGGTTTTCTCATTACTCAATTCGATTCTAATGAGTCTTTTTTGTGTGGCTTTTTTGCGTCCAGTGAGGCGCAAGCAGATGCGTGCTCGTATTAGGGCATGGTCGGAGTCCAAGCAGGTACTCCAGAATGAGCGACAATTTTCTATCGACCCTCTCCAACGATGACTGATGGCAATATGGTCTATTTGAGTCCATCATTGGTTTGGGGCAGGGGGTCGCCATGTTAGATGATGTCTCTCCTTATGCTTAAAATTTGTGTTTGCTAAAAATAAACGATTGTCTGAGCACAGTTGCAGCAGACGATCACCATTATCTGTTCGCTGTGCCGGAATACTAAAATACCCACCTAAATGTCTTTCTGTTTCGTTTAAACTACCTACCTGGGCATTAAAGTCACCTCCTACGAGTACTATGTCTGAACGTTTAGCATTCTGAAGAAGTTCAGAGAGTTTTCTGTAAAATTCATCTTTCACTTCATCCGAACTGCAGTCAGTGGGAGCGTAAGCAGAAACGACGAAAAGGCAACGACGTGTGTTCCTATCCTTCCGAGTTCTTACTGAGCCGTTTAGCCGAACAGCGCATAGACGACTATTAACGGGGATCCACTCTGATAGCGCTTGTTCCGCCCTCATGCTTAGTGCTATGCCTACACCTGCCAGTCCACGAGAACTAGCCATCGGGTCGCCAGATACACGGAGGGTGTATCTCGTCGGCACTCCGTTTTGCCGAGGTGAGGTCAAGTGAATGACCACACTAGAATCCTGTACGCGTGTTTCGGAGACACAGCATACATCAATTGTACAAGATTCTAAGGTTTTAGCCAAGGAAGTGTGCTGACCGATTTGGCATAGTGTGCGTACGTTGAAGGCTCCAATGTGTAGTTTGGAGCGAGGTTTCAGTAGACCTGGAACAGTGTTTTGCGCACTAGAATCGTTGGCTGTGGTGACACTTGAGGAGGAAGCCGAAAGAGGGAGTTTATATTTGAAAGTCGATGTAAGAGAAATAATAGGAATTGAAGAGGTAGGTTGATTATGAATACAGTGGTCTTGAGTGCTGTTAGAGGTATGAGGGCGGTTATCACTTCCCGGTCCCCCACACCGTGGAAGGGTTCTCCTGGAGGTACCTGAAAAGTTAATTGGATTAGAGGTGGTCATAGTGACCTGAGAGCGTGACGGCAGTGCCCAAGGGACAGCTGCTTAAGGTCGGTCACACACGACCTTTTTATGAGTAATTTTTGTGTTAGCTCCGTACTTGTTGAGACCTTACCGCCGGAGACGAATATCCGTGGAATAAGGCAAGGTGTGCATTTTTAGGGTCGACCTTTTCTAACACCACCCCTCCTTTTGGGAAGACAGCATCGCTGTTATGCTGGTTGTCTGAAGGAAACACCTTACTGCTGTCACACCTCTGTACAGTCAGCAGTACGACTTCGCCTTCGGACCTTGGTTTTGTTGCTTTTAGTCTTGCCGCCCTTCAACCGACCTGTCTGGCATGGTAGGACTTTGAGGAACGTTTGTTCCAGCCAGTATACCTCGATTGGTTCATCACGATAGGCAAGCCCGACCACCACGTCAAGGTAGCAACAACGGTTTTCAAATATAATTTACATATATAATGACTTCTCTATACTCGGCGCCCAAATCTGGCAAACTATTCGTTCTAATCTTGACGAATATTCGTATAAATAAATACTAGTTGCAATTATCAAACAATATTTAAGAGGAATTGATATAACTCATAATAATTTAATTCATCGTAAATTCCTTATTCGATTTAACCTGGGATTAATATAGCAGTCTTAAGCGAATCTATTTTTTTGTTTGGACAGACTTTAAAACTAGACAAGGGATTTGGTACTTTGTTTGAACGAAGAGGCATTCTTAATAAACCTCACGTTAACTACATTTTACTTCTTTCTAGATTAGAGTTGAAGATAATCATCCCAGTCAGTTATAATGTTAATGTTTAATTGCTACGTGAACGTAGATATTATCGGCAATCGTTAATGTAAACATGTCACGATAATGCGATGAGAAGACGAAGTTTATCAGAACATGTTAATAAATTGTTCTCATATAAATCATTCTTTTGAATCATGTTGACTGTATAGAAAATTTCGTTGCCCTAGGGAATTAAAGCCGAAATTCTGAGGTATATAGGTGATAGTACATTAATCTGTTCATATCATCGGAAAATATATAACTTGTGAGTTTACTATTTGACGTGCTATTGATCCATAGACGCATCTTAAAAGAGTTGAACTACTTGGTCTAAATGTAATGTTAGACAACCTGGTGTTCATTTCGAGGAAAAGTAAACAATTTGGCGTTAATTTTAAGACATTCAACTTGTAATGGAGAAATTTCGGACTAATTTCCATGGGTTGATGAAAAGCCGGTAATTTAGTGCATTGTTTATATTCACACTGACTGTTTTTGAAATAGTTCGTCTTTGTTTTTCCTTTTTTGTTTTAGTACAATATCATCCCTGGATTTCACGTCTTCTCTGAATGTCATTTTCTGAATGCAGCTACGTGAAATGCTTTTTCTCAACAGTGATTTACCATTAAATTATGATTTAAACTTGCCAAGACGCGAAATATCGTTAATAAAATGGTATTCACTACGAAGCTGTACGTAATTTAATTCGTAAAATCGAGCATAAATTTAATGGTTGCCGTCGTTATCCTAATTCGTTGATATTCTTTGTTTCGAGGCTGTCAATAACATTTAGATTAACTTGATCAATTAAACGGTTTGACCGGTAAGATTAACCTTGAATTTGAAGCATGATAAATCTTAGTAACTATTTCAACCTAGATAAACTTATTTAGAAATTTACACCAATATGATTGAGGGGCTAATTTCCTACTTCTACCACCATTTATAGGCTCTTACGTCCTGTCTTTAGATAAGTAAGCGTGAAATATACCGCATTGTTGAAGCTTAATCAAACAATGGGTCTAGTCGATAAAGTACAAAATTAATCTGAGATATATTTAATCTAAAACACCAAATTATGGAGCCAGGTAGGCTACTACAAATTGTTGAGCTCCAATGAAAGAAAACAATGTAGTCAACATAGGCCATTTTATAAACTAGTGCGTCTAAATTTGTTTTTCCAAACTCAACGCAGCATACTACGAATCAAACTACGTAAGTTTTATTATTTCAACTATGCTAACTATTTTATACACTACTAATACAGCTCACTAAATTTATCACTATATTTGCGTTATGACATGCATAACTTACTGGATTATGTTTTTCGTCATCAATCATCAAAATAAAACATTCTTCCGTTTAAAGTGAATCCGTTCTGGGTATTTTAAGTGTAATCTTTCTATATGTTATCAAGATCAACGGATCTTATAAAGTTTTGGAATAACCTAAAGCGATAATGGCCGTTTTCAACACACTCAATCTAATAGTATTTATAATAGTGGCTGTCGTTATCTAACGTGTATATTTTTAGTGTATTTATCAGCCAGTTAAAAAATTTGACAATCTGCAACCTTCTCATTTTAGTTGGAGCTCTAGCGATGGCAACATGCATGATAATTACCTATGTATGCAGTCAAGCAAACATCCTGAATTCTGAAAACAGCATTGTTACGAATATCTCAATTGTGATAACGAGTCACAAAAATATCATGGACATGAAGTAGGAGTCACAAGTCCTTTGGCTATAACTTTATGTTCTCGGGATTTATCTTGTGTTAATTAGAGAGCTCATAATCAGCATTCACCGTTTTTTATTCTGCAACGATAATCGCTCAGTTATACGCGTAAAGATGCGATTTCCCACTCACAAATCCTTTTATAGTTGACTAGCTGTGAACAAATAGTTCTATGAAATTTCAGTTTTCTGGTCAACTGTAATATAAACATTGAAATATCTTCCTGAGTTGATAAAACAAACATAATACAAGGCAACTAACCTTAGAAAATATATACAATTATTTCTTCCTACAACAAAATCCGGATCAATATCTGCATACTCCCAGGCGACATTACGTATCTGTTTTAAAACAGGATTACCTCTCTAGATAAACAAATCACAATGATAAAATGTCAAAATAATAGAAATTTATGATGAACAAAACAAAACAATCGTAAAATTAAACTTTTCCAGTGACCATGGGTAGCCATTTTGCCCAATCAGAATGAAGGCAATTCGAATGAATTATTTGTTAAATAAAACTCAAACACAATAAAATATATATATGATTACTAAGCTCATTAAGTTTAGCAGTAGATTCACCGGTACAACAAATCAACATGGGTGAGATACTAAAGCTTGTTCACATGAATTCAGTTCATTTTACATTCAGAGCCTTTGCAAGGTATATGCTTTTATCGTGACTACATGACCTAAGCATTATTAATGTGGATACAAATCATAGGGTGGATTAAATAACGCTTACAAACGGTTACCTAATAAATATAAATATATGAACTTTCCTTATCAATAGAGACTCCTGGATAATTTTTCTACATCATTTAGGCCGTAATGTACAGAGGATTTTCAAAGATATCACAAATACTTTTTGATTGTGCCCTGAATAACATCAAATATCATCAACAAATAATTATCATTTCAGATACAATCTGCATCATAAGCAGCTATTTGTTTTAATTTAACTTACATACCATATTACATTAATTGTATAGTCGCATCATAGATATATCTGTCAATTTTAAGATATAGACATAGACAATTTATATTTGGCTTCCAGTATGCCCCGAACCATCCATTGTGCTTGAGTTTATACGGATTATTAACGACATGTCACTTGATAATTTTAAATAAGCTGAGTATTAACTAGATTTATACGAATATTCGTCAAAATTAGAACGAATAGTTTGACAGAAATTGGGCGCCGAGTATAGAGAAGTCATTATATATGAAAATTATATTTGAAATAATATCAGCAATTGAAATTTATTTAATTCCAAAGTTTCGTCCAGCTAACTTGTCTGGACTTCTTCAGGGTAATAATCAAAATCAAGATCATCAAAGACGAAGAAGTCCAGACAATTTAGCTGGACGAAACGTTGGAATTATTTAAATTTCAATCGCTGAGATTATTTCAAATATAATTTTCATATATATTAACTAGATTGTTAATAATAAAATTAATATATCTACAACGTCCCAAAATAAATAAGAATTTGTACTGAAAGTTAATGAAGAATACGAGGGAGGAAAACAGTACAATCAACTTAGATGGATAATGAAACAGCTCATAACAATGAAAGTAACATCATAGTTTTAAGATTACCTGACGCTGATTCACAAGGATGGCATTTCCAGAAGTTAAGATTGGTCCTGTTTGCATTCTACAAATGTGTGAATGTAACAATCATGGGATTGAATGAATTATTTATCGTTAATCACATTTACATTAATCAGTAACAAATTACAGAAATACCAAAGTAAATCGAAGAAAATGGAATGAATACTGAATGAAAGAAAATGTCTTTACACAATATCATTTATGTAATTATAGTAATCAATTTTCCCCGTAACAGAAAACTGAGATGATACAGAATCTTTGTACCTTGGGATGAGAATTTCGGAGATATCGTTTTATGAGCAGGACGACGAGGTTAAGTATGTACTCATGATGTTGTCTAGAAACGTTTAGAAAGCATCACGATTAAACCATGCAGCTCAAAGAATACATTCTCCAAAAAATAGAAAAACAAGTGTCGACATGAAATGATAATATTAAAGAGTGTAAATTTATGTGTATGAATGTGTTAGATTACAACTTAATTAAAATGTTATAAAATATATCTAAATAAAATCCGTATGCTGACAGCTGATGGCATACAATTATCTAACTTTATTGCTAAACATATAATAAAAAGGCGTTATGGGATTAATTTGAGAACAGGTACTTCAATAAATGATCTATACAAATAACCAAAAAATAATTCGATTTTTTCTAAAGCTTTAGCTATAGGGAAATTCAAACTAATTGTACTTATATCAGAAGAAACCTGATAATACTCAGTTTATTTTTATATAAAGTATAGCCGTTTTTTGTCCTTTATTATCCTTATTAAATACTTTTTAATTATCATACAAATATGTAAGCAAGTGTTGTTTGGACTTTGTTCTTTGAGCACACCGGTTCAATGTGAAATAAGTGCTGATGATACTGCCTAGAACGACTAAACTTTTACAACTAGACCACCAAGCCCAAATAATGTTAAGCAGTCTTAAACATTTACCTGGATTACGAATTTTTCGCAGTAAAATAATTTAATTTATCAACAGACTATTCAACATGCACTTGGTTGATATGCTGTATGATATTGGATTTCATTTTATCATTACATTAGTTGATTATAAGTTTATTATCGTTATAAAGAAAGTTATAGTTTATTTATTTATTTAAATGACTTCATTGAGATTGATATACTTTTAATCATTCACAAATTTCTGATTTAAACTTTTAGTCGGCAGACAATCCTAAATGATGATTCCCGTGATGGTAAGTGACTACAGTTAGCCGTGCTCAAGTATTCAGCTTTGGATTAACTAAGATTCCGATTCAGGATAGTTCCTAAACATGTGTTTGGCAAGTGCACACTTTATACAGCTAATATAACTTGCTATAATGTTCCTAGAAAAGATTTTCTGCACTATAAATTCTTTATTTTTGTTTAATGAATAATTCTTTGAAGAACTAAAACTGATTAAATTGTGAATTTACTAAGACTTATATCTTTAAAGCAATTAGTCCCTCTTAAAATTTCTATAGAGCAACCCTATCTTCTCTTTGTTCTATCGGGATTTTATATTTCTACAAACTCAGATGAATGAATGTATAAAGTAAATGGAACATTCGATTTCATATGATTATAGATACTGTCAAGCTAATCTGTGCAAATCTATAATTTAAACAGACACAATTTTGCCTTCAAAACGTTATAATCAATATACATGAATATCATATAATACAAAGAAGGAATAATAAAATAAACACAATCCGAACATTGGTTTTCAATGCGTCAGATGCACAAACTACAGGTAGCTATCACACTCCGAAAAAAGTCAAAGTGCTCATTTGACTGGCAATCAAGTAAAGATTGTATGTATTATGTTAGATTAAATCAATGGTGGATGTTTAAAGTATAATAAAACTGGTTATTGGTTTCGTCACGGATATGTCAGTTGCATGATTTCTAAAACTACTCTTGACATAAGCTGAAACCGAACTACTATGAGATAGAGGGAGAGAGTTTAAGTGTAGAATCTAATGCAAAAATGATAACGAAAGAATCCAGTATTATAATTTATCTACTTAGTTACAATTAAAATTACCTCTTGTTTTCTTTTGTTGAGTTAGCAGATGAGACAAGAACGCGTGATAAAGATGGTAGCTGAGATTCGCAAACAGGTTTAGCAATATCACTTATCAAGTTAGGTTTCAAAAGTGAACCCAAAGTAAACTGTTTGTTAGGAGATACTGATTGATTTGTTTCACTGGATGATGACTGAGGCGCACACCAAGATTTCGGCATACCTTGATTTGAAGAAGTCTCATCTTGTTGACCGTTTTTTGATGTTAATGTTGATGACATTGTAGCATTATCAACTGTTGCTGCGGTCGCAGCTGAAATTGCTTCCTGTGTACTTAAAATGTTCAAATCCAACTGACCTTCTTTATACGCTTTAAATAATCTAAAATTATCCTAAGAATAAAAAATACAAACGATTACTGAATTAAGCAATAAGCAAAAAATGGAAAAAATATGACAAATAACCGTCAGTCCTAATAGCTGATCACTGCTAAAAGACATTATCAACACAACTGAGGAAAGGTTGTTCTTTTTTATGATTCAACTAGGATCGGTAATACTTTTGTAGCTGAAGGACTCATCACTTTGACTCCAAAAGATAATGAACGATGAAATATGTATGTTTGATAATTTCATAAATATTTTTGTGACCAATCCCCTCAAAACAACGTGAAAGTAAAAGGTTGAATAAAAGTAGTTTTGCGGATGTGTAAGTTTCATGAATACGATTTACCAGAGAAACTGTATGAATGATAAACATGGAATAGCCTTTCGTTAGTATTGGCCAAAAGACGTCTGGTTAAGTATGAATCAAAGTAGTGCAGACACGGAGAAATAAACATACATTTATTTATAAAAGTGTACATAAATTAAAGATCAACATTAATTGAATAGTAACACACAATAGAACCAATAACGTTGCAAATACATATACAAAAATCAGATAAGTTCAAACAACAGTTTGTAACGATCTGTCGTCAATTCACAATACGATTATAAATCTGACTAAATGTTTATTGTTTCACGTATATAAAAAGCGCTACAATACCAGATATTACTACAAGGATTGGGGACTGAACCATTAACTCACTGTTCACATACGTATGAGAATTTGACCGAAATCATCATAGCTCACTTCAAAAAAATCGTTTGATTAGTTGAATGGTAGATTTTTTAAATGCCAACAATATACCGGAGTAGATTTGCGTTTATCCGACTACATAATCATAAGGTAGTAATGTCACTCAAACTTACGTAGAATAATTTGAAAAAAACTAATGTCGATTATACACTTTTATATACCCTAACAATTAACAGTAAGATATGGATTTATTAGGAAGGATCAGACTTATCCTTATGATTAGGATGAAATGTACTGGGTTTGAGTCCTGGAGTGAATATAAGTAAACATTTATTGGTGTATAACTATTCACTTTCGCAAATATACATATTGCATTAAACTGGATTCAATAACATGCGATCATTTTAACCTCACAAGTTTAATGTAT